TAGGAACGCCAGATGTACCAGACATGTACACACAACAATAAGTTAAGTGGTAAGTAACACTGTGACCTTAGACTATTGAAAAACGGTTCAGGAATAGAAGCTAGGAATCATATAATAGTCATATTTGTAATTATTACAAGATTGCAGATTCAAATATGTTTAACAATACCACTAATCAAACGAAGCTTAGAAAGACATCGTGTCAGCCGAGCATATTAGAGGCAAGAGGAGTTGTAGGAAACATTTAAAAACATTTTAAAACTTGTCTGAAATAGCTAACATTGGTTCATATATATGTTAATTATATAATTAGTATGTACAAACATGAGTTCTGCTACAAACTAAACACACATAGGGATAACCCGCAATATATGACTTTTCATTGAGAAAATTAATTAAAAGTGAACTTATGGGTGAGTAATACGAATATATTTCTGCCTTCAACTAATAACTAGTTCTTTGTAATATGTGTGGAAAAGCTAATATGTGTATTTTTTTTAATATATACATACTTCAATATGTAAGGTCAAATGATTGTACATGTGGGATATTTAATATTCACGAATTTCACCCGGAAAATAACTAAAAAACCATGAACCAAGTTGTATTGGAATCTATTGAATGTTTTTTCCAGATATTAAAACGCGACTACTAATTATGCAAATTAAATAAATCGGATAAATTCCAAGCTGATCTAGAAACTACCACTAAAATGAAACACACAGAAACTGTATTAAATCTTTGAATAAAATATACTAGTGGTTCGGGCAGTTCTGGACTAGCACCTATTAAGAAGAAATTTAGCCATAGTAATTAAAAAAAAAAGCTAAACCGAATTGAGGGTATTATAATATTCAAATAAGTTCCAGGTAAATATGAAAAAAGTCGTATTTCAAAATGCATTTACACTTATTCACATGTTTTTTTTTTCTTTCAATGAAATTTCATCACTCTCATCAAACGTCATTTTAGCCAAAAAATAAACTTTCTTGTTCTTTTACTTATTTCAAATAGCAGTTACCGCATAATTCTATTTCGAAGCGGTTCTTGGCACTTTTTCTCTTTGATTTGTCGTTCCCGAATAATAATCGAATGGTATTTTTTTGTGCGCTGATATAAACGTATTGCTTGCGTTCAATTCGAAATATTTTGTTTTTAATTTGTATTCTTCACATACAAAAGTGCTTTTTGTTCATTGAACTTAAGGAACGAAATAAGCATCAGCCCAGGGCACCTTACACCTCGGTCGGCGTCAAGTCGGTCATTTCAGCTCTCACACACTGAACGGAGATTTCCGCTCGCTAAAAACAAAATACAGATTTTGATGTGATGATAGACTCACCTGAATTGTCCTTTCGTTTCTCAAATGGAGAATCACAGATCGTGTCACGCGAGCAAGCCTGTGTGCCTAGATGTTATCGTGAATAGTTGTCTATAAAACGCGGAACCGAAATTTCATAAATGTAACATGATTCCATTTAAAATAGTCCTGGCATCAAGTTTAGGATTTAGGTCCATATACAGTATACCTACCCATCTCTTTACCCGACTCATAATTTAATTGAGTTCTTTTAAATTGTAATTAAATTGCATTCATTTGTATGATTGCAATTTAATTGAGTTGAATTTAAGGGTAATTAAATTACAATTCGATTGCAATTTAATTAGTTGCGTTTATATGGGATTGTAATTGAAATGGGTTGCTTCACAAATTCCGGTTCCCGTCCCGGTTTCGCGTGTTATAGACAACCATCGTGAAGAAACTTCATGTACCGTGTGCGTTCTTCATGAATGATTAGCCTATGTAGCGTAAAAAGAGCCTCCATTACCAGTCGATGCCGCCTGGTGCATTGGGTGCCCGGGTGACGCATGAATAATTCGTATTTTTGTTACTTATTGGATTTTATTTTTTTCCAATAACACTGTCAGACTATACGTTCGTGTCTTATGAACACCACTGTAGCAGGAAGCAATGATTGGAAAATACCCCCCCCCCCCTCCCAGTTTAAGCGGTCTCCCGTAGATAAGTTGCACTTGATGATGGAAACTGACGCATTTAGTACCAAGTTGTCGCGTGAATTGTTCGTTGAATCTCAGTTTCAAACACAATTATCTTTTTTATTATGTTTTATTCTGGGATATCCGATTTATTTACTTATGCGAAACTCATTTTGCGTGCTTACATTTTTATGTATTACGATCTTTGTAACAATAGGTGATTTTTCTGTTCATTTCGAGATCTCGTGTTTTGCGTGAAAGATGTGGACTGAACGTCTGCGTCAAAAATCAAAAGATTTAATTTGAATTTAAATTGTCTTTTTAGAGCCCAAATTCAAATGCCAATCTTTGAAGAGGGAAATATTGCCTTAATATATCTTTGGCAAATTATAGCGTTGAAATACCGTCTTAGGACTTTCGTTTTTGTCGAATCCCACGCGATGTTTTGACGTTATAACGATGCTATGACCTTTGTTTTACTTGTCTTTTTTGACGTTCGATTTCACGCATAACGCTGGATCTCTAAGTGATGACTGCCAATGTGTATTGGTACACTCATATTTGCACTTTATATTTACATAATAAAACACACCAAAAAAACTAGCACTTGTTTTGGACAAGTTTGAATGATTGAATGACGGAGCTACTCTGTGATTGGTTCAACATCTATCAGTCATGAAACTAATTAGCATATTTTGTGCGCCATTGTCAACTTTTGGCACCATCTAAAAATGATTTCATACAGTCTACTTCTCTTCAAGTGAAATGTTGACACACCTTTTGAACCCTCAGAATTTGACTGTATTATGATTATTTTACTCAAATGTAAAATTATTTCACACTGACTTTTGGGCGGGAAAATAGCCGACATTGAAACGTCAAAGACAACTTTGTTGCCTTCCATTAAATATATTCTAATCATTTTAAAGTTTATTTAACACCCATGGGAATTTACGTAATTTTGAATACAACATTTTCAAAAATAAATACAATTGTGGCACCAACAGTCATAGCCGTTAAAAATATTGCAGATTTTTTTAGTAATACAAACTTTGCGTATTTCACTTGTAAATCTATATCTAGATAAAAATATTCATCTAGCATTTCAATGTTTTAAATTGAACAATTGTATTATCATGGATCGTTTCAAGCACAGAATTAACAATGTCAACTTCTAGACAGTTTAGACCTACATAGATGTAATAAAAAATCAAACACAGATGTAATATATTTACGACGAAACTACGAATGTAATAGCAAATCAATCAGACTCGAAACAGACATTAACCATTAAAGTATTAACACAAACAATAACAATATGAACAATAACCAGCATAAACAATAATCATAACAGTAATAACACCAGTCATAAATGAAATGCACCACATTTGTAAATACTGTAAAACATGTCTTTTTCGCGAGCATGTCTTTTTCGCGAATTTAGTGAGAGAACTGATTCGCTAATTCAAGATGTCGTTAATGACTTTATTATCAATTCACAATGGCCGCCAAACAAACAAATCAACAATGCCAAGAGAGATTCGCTAAATCAACATTTCGCTATTACGTCATTTTACCACAATTCGCTAAAATTGCATGCCGCTTTTGCAACATGTTTTACTTGCTTGGATTAAATCGCGATATTATTTCTGTCAATTTATTCTAACCCTAAGCATTTGTTCTCACTTTGCGATCATATAAAAGCAAAGATAGAATATGAATTATAATTTTGTATCCTTATAATAGCTCAATTAGTCTATTAATTCTCAGACTAGTAATGTATTACTAGTCTGAGATAAATTTTATTATTCATTTCATTTTTACATTTAACTACCAAACTTGATACTTCTGGTTTTATCAAAAGTTGTTAATTCAAAGAACAGGAAGGAATACACTGGGAATAATATCAGATGTGCTTGCCTTTTTAAACGATAAAGCGGGGTGTTTGCGATATATCTTCGTTCGACTGCTTTAAATTTATCATTGTACGAAAAAATGAAAAATCGTTTCATTTGTTCATATAGTTATTTCCTGGAGTTATTCATAAGTTTCAATTCAAACTGAAACGAATAGTTTTATTAGCTGCTGGCATATTGTCAAATCATTCAGAGAATCTGGAACCTTCTGTGCGATTGAGTCAGTTCACAATTTTCATCCGCCAACACAGTGACGTCATTCACAATGCGCTCATCGATTGGCTGGTTGGATTTATCATTTAAATACATAAATATTTATAATCATGCAAGAACGCACGCAACGATTTGTGCGCGTGATCATCATAGCGTGTCATTCTCTCTTGGCTTCACGTTCATTATTCCGCTTATCTGTGAATCCTTTGTATTTGAAAATTGGACTGGATAACAATAGGAAACGGGAAAATGATTTAGCAGCGAAAGGTTTCTTGGTTCTGTCATTCTCAACAAGGTCTCGACGGCCATTCGCATCTAAGTTATATATTTCTTATGCAGTGGTCAAACTGGTTTAAAGGTAGTGGTCCTTGCGCAGTGCGTTTGAATATCATGAAAAATTATATTGGAATGCTGTATCCCGGGGTACATCCATAATTGAAGCGCATGGCTGATTTATTCCAACTTTCACGGTCGGGTCAATCTTTTTGACCTCCAAATTTAAAAAGTTGTTGGCCATTTTAGCAAACTTTTCATAAAAGCGCCATCAATGTTGATCTATTTGATTCTAGGTTTCAACTGGCTGTGGGGCATTCGAATGAGTACCCCCAGAAGCTGTACACATTTGTGCCTCCGAATGGGGTACATGCTTTGAGCGAAAGTGTCTGGAATCGGGCACTCATTACTAAAGTTGTGAATATTAAGTCAAACTTGGTTCAAGCCACGAATTTTGTAACAAAAGACATTGTAATTCACACGTGTTGTAAATGTCGGCATGGGAGCCATGTTGAGCACAGAGATCTAAGGTCATTGTTTGATATTTATGTAAATATGACCAAACACGTGACACAGATGTACATGTAAATAAGTACTTACGGTAGACTTGGAGCCGAGTAGTAGCAACCCCCTGGTCTCCAGAAACATAAAAATCGACATCGCATTCATAATTGCCAGTGTCTGATATCACCAGGTTGTCAATCTGCAGACTAGCGTAATCTCCAGCCGTTGAAACCCTACCAGCGTATTCACCAAAGGATTGTTCCTCGCCACCATTGTTTATAAAGATCGTGATTTTATCGGAACCTTCTGTGATGTAACTCCACGTATAAATATACTGGTCTGCAAACTTAGCCGGTTCATCATAGCTACATTTAAGTACCACGCTCTCGTCGACTAGACCTTCATGTAAAGGATCTGTCTCCACTTCTAACGCCACGGAGTTTGGTATTGAAAAAACTGTAAACGCTAAAAAATAATAATAAATATGAGTGACTGAAATAGCTCACAATGCCATAGTCGTCATGTATCGCGCTTTTATCTTTTCATGTAAATAAATAAATAAATG